GCGGGCCGAGCGAGTCGATGGTCCGGCTCGCCATCTTTTCTTGCCAGCCTGCGCGGGTGGCTTCCAGGAGAGGTTCGCGGGCGACTCGAGGCGTGAGTCTGCGTGGCAGGGTTGTTGTTCGCCCGCGGAGCGGCGGGGCCGTGGGTCAGGCCCTGGCGGGCCCTCCGTGTTCCTGGTCGGGCGCCACACGGGGTTACGGGCGCTGACCGCGGGCCGCGCTCCCCGGGCCGTTCGGATCGCGGGGTGCTCCGCACTGCTCGCTCCCTGGGCTGGGCGGGAGAGACCTGCCCCCCTTTCTGCGGGGCCTTATCTCCCTTTCTGCCTTCTCTCTGGCTGCCGCACAGATGCAGCTGCGTGTTGCGGTTCAAAGAGCGGCGGGGGAGAGGTGCAGAGCCAAAGCAGAACGAACGTTGAATTTTATTACCGGTTATCCGATTCGGGCATCGGCTGTCCCTGAACGCGTTAGCATAATTTGAACACATACAGCCAGCAAAGTAGTTATAATTATACAGTTCGTTCAAAACCTCAAATCCAGCTTGACTGTGAAAAGTTAAGAGTGTTAAGCTTTTAAAAAACTACTCTTAAGCCTGTGCTTGAATGACTGGGTGGTGAAAAACCCATAGTTTTCACCCGAGACAGTGGTGCACCTCAGAGCAGCATCTCTATCATCCATCAGGGAACGTGCTAGAAATTCACACTCTACCACTCGGTTGGTGCCTAGCAATCTGTTTTAGTAATTTCTCCAGGTGTGCAGGAGTCTTGGTAGCAGGGTTGATGACACGCTGGGTTGCGAACTGCAAGTTCATCTTGAACTTTCAGTCTCTCTCGGAGAGAAGATAGGGCTGTTTGCTCCGGTAAAGATTACAGACTGGGAAACCCCAGGGTTCAGTTACACCTGGCCTTTGTAAGGCTTTCTTTGACTGAGAACCTATGAGGTGGCAGTGCTTAACTTGATTTAGATAAGGACGCAGGGGAACCTAATTGCAGAGCCCTGGTGGCGTAGTGCTTACATGTGCCACCACCCACAAGGTCAGCTGTTTGAAATTACCAGCCCCTCTTCAGAATAAAGATGGAACGTTATACTCCTTGGAAACTCACAGGGACAGTTGTACCCTACCCTAAAGGGTCACTATGAGCCTGCATCCACTTGATGGCAGGGAATTTGGCTGGTTGGTTTTTGTTCTGCCAGTTGCTTACTCCAACTTAAACAGGTTGCCCCTGTGACGAACTTGACCCATGAGGACCCTATGCATGTCAGAGTAGAACTGTACTCCACAGCACTTTCAATGGCAGATTTTTCAGCAGATTACGAGGTCTTCCAAGGCACCTCTCAAAAAAATCAGACTCACCATCTGCCCTTGTGGGTTTCTGAGACTAACCCTAAACAGGCTCAGAAAGCTTCATCTAGCGGCCTCAGAGTGGCTGGTGGGTTTAAACTGCTTACCTTGTTAGCAGCAGCCCAACACGTAACCACAGTGCCACTAGAGCTAACATTTTAATCAGCAGCCAAGTGTGTTAACTGTTTGCAATGCCGAGACTCTTACATGTAGGTGGTTACAAACTTGGTATTAAACAATATAGTCTTGCCTTCCCCACCAGAAGTGCAAATTCGTTGGAATTAGGCTTTACTGTTCTGCTGTTTTCTGCGCCCTGGGAAGCAGTCTACCTGGAGATCTGTGGCTTTCCATGCTGGTGACTCATGAAACCACTCCCACTCTCCACCCTCACCCTCCCTAAGATCCTGTGCCATCTCCGAGTTAGCCCCTCAATGCCACTAGCACCTTGCTGTGAAAAGGCAGCTTAGGTATCAGAGGTAGGAGCATGGCCCTGCAACCCGTTTGGGCGCCCCTACTAACTGGGTGACCTTAGCCAATTTACTTGTTTTCCTGATAATTTATAAAATGCAGGTAAACCTGTACTACTTCCTAAGGTTATTACTGCATATAATAGCGCATTCACACAGTAACTACTCAAGTTTTAGCTATTATTATAAGGAGCCTTGCACTAGATGTTGAGCTGGTTGGTGGTTCAAATCCAATAGCCACTTCAAGGGAGAAAGATGAGGCTGTCTGCTTCTATAAAGATTTACTGCCTCGGAAACCAAACCCTGTACCAGGTTACAACGGGTCACTAAAGAGTCAGAACCAACTCGCCCTAACAGCAGTACTATATGAGTTGGAATTGACTTGATGGCACTGGGTTTGGGCAATTATTAGTACCCAAGCCTGAGGCAAGTGAGAAAAATAGTAAAAATAGTAGGAACTAGGAAGGGAGACCTAGGACGCACTGGCAAGTAGTAGGATAACATAGGCGTCACTGTGAAATGAAACCAACCAAGGCGGGTGACTTCTGCTAAACACTCTGCTCTTTGCAGTGTGGTGTGTGGGCCACCCTCCCCAGCATCCCAACAGCTTGTTAGACACAGACTCCACCTGCTGAATCTGTTTTTTCAGCAAGATCACCAGCAGGGGCAATTGCAACTGTATTTGGAGGAACAAGGAACGTGCCATCAGCTGCAAGATTCATTTTAAGGAGGTGCAGCTTCAAATTAGTGCTCCTGGAGATCTGGTAGGAGGGCTTGTCATTTCAGGTGATTCACCTCATCCCCCTGCTCTTTGGAAATTCACCCCACACCTTCACTCCCTCACTCCCATCGAGTAAATTCTGACTCGAAGCAACCCTCTCTTTAAAACAATAAAAAATTTTTTTCTTTAGGTGAAAGTTTGCACAGTAACTTAATTCCCATTGAACAGTTCATGCACTAATTGTTCTGTGGCGTTGGTTACAGCCCCCAAAGTGCATCCCACACCATTTCCACCCTGCTTTCCCTGATTCCCACAGCCCCAGTAAGCATTATTGGACTGCTAACCACAAAGTTGGTGCTTCAAACGTCTACCACCTGCTCTACAGGAGAAAGATCAGGGTGTCTCCTGTAAATATTTACCATCTCAGGAGCGGTTCGACTCTGCACTAATAGGGTCACTGTCATATAGAATGGACTAGGTGGCAGGGATTAATGGCTGATAATCATGAGCTTCTCTTCATGTTTGTAGGCCACTGGAATGTTCTCTTGGGTGAAGTGACTATTTGTATCCTTTGTGTAAGGTAGATTTGGCAATGGAAAAAAGAAAGAAAAGGCAGAAAACAGTTTCAAAGGTTTATTTCAGAGCTCCAGGGAGAGGCTCACGGGTCCCTAATTGGGGACCAGAGTAGTCCCACCACCCAGGAGGGAGGGGAGAGCAGAGAAAGGGATGGGAGCATCCTGAGCTCCCAGGCGAGGTTCACAGGTCCCCAACTGGGGGCCCACGAAGTCTTGCCTTCCACGCAAGAGGTGGAGAGTTTTACAGCCAGGTCTGGGGAGAGGGAGTAACTTGGGGATTTTCTACTGCAACTTTGTTGTCTGCAGATCCAGGGCTAAGCAACAGTGTTCAAAGTTATCTGTACCAGTTAGCCTTCTTCACCTGGGCCTGGAAGGCCAGTGAAAGGGGGTGGGGGTGCGAGGCTGGTGGTGGTGCTAGGGGTTGTGGGGTGTCGCTGGCCTCTGGCAGAGTCTTTGAAGTGTTTTCACGAGCTCAGGGGAGCTCTTCACGTGTCTTCACTTGCCTGCCCTGCTAACCCCTGTTTCTGCCTGCCAGTTTGCCCATTTTTGGATGGATCATTTGCCTTTTTGTTACGTTGATGAAGTTTCATGTGTGTTTTAGAAGTTAAAGCATGGTAAGATAGGTCGTTCACCAACATGGGTTCCCCAGTCTGTAGGTTCTCTTTTTGTACATTTAATTTTAAAAAGCATTTACTTTTTAGGAAGTTCCAGTTAGCTATTTTATCATCTGTTGTTCATGCATTTTTCATGTGTTTGAAATTGTGTTTATGCCCAAAATGAAGCATTTTTGCGTCTGTGTTCTCTCCCAGGAACCTTGTAACTTTAGCTGTACCATTTAGGTCCGTGATGCATGTTGACTTAAGTTTTGGGGAATGGTGTAAGATATGAATCCTGCCACCTCTTTTTTGCAAATGGATATCCATTTTGCTCGCCCCAGTTATTAAAGAGACGATTTCTCTCTTCTAATGCGTTTCAGCCCTTTGTCCAAGATCATCTATCTGGGTTCTGGGTTCTGTTCCATTGGTCTGTGTGTCTGTCATTGTACCCATAGCAGACGGCTGAACAGTGAGTTGTGAGATCACAAAGTCTGAGCTCAGCCTCCTACTTTGTTCTTCAATATTGCGTTAGTTATTTGGCCTGTTCCTTTTCATATGGAGTTGGAGGTTTCCATGTTATTTGAGAATGCCCAGATTTGGATCAGGATTGCATTCTATCTCTGCGTAGCTTTGGATAGTATTCACCTGTTCATGCTACAAAGGCTTTCCATCCATGAGCATGGGATGTTTCCCCATATATGTGCATCTGCCTTGGTTATTTTTAATAGTGCTTTGTAGTTTTCCTTGTCGAAGTTTTTTACCTCCCTGGTTAGATCTGTTCCTGGGCATTTCATCCTTCTGGGGACTAGGGTAAGTGATTCTGTTCCCTTGACTTCCTTTTCGGAGTTCTCCTTGTTAGTGAAGCAGTCACCTGGGCTTTATATGTTGGTCTTGTATCCCGCTGCTTTGCTGAGCGCACCTGCTAGTTTCTGGAACTTTCTTGTGGCATTTTCTCTGTTGTAGGATCATGTCATCTGAAAGTAGGGATGACTTAACCTCTTTCTTCCTGACTTTTGGATAGACATGCTTTTTCTTTCTTGTCTTTTTGCCCTTGTTAAGAACAATATCGAATGAGAGCAATGGTAACCGGCATCGTCTTCTTGTTCCCACTCGTCCATCATGTTCACATCGCTAATCTCTGTTCTCATGTGCCGTGTAGTCAATTCTGACTCAGTTCATAGGTTGGCATAGAACTGCCCCTTGGGGTTTCCTAGGCTGCAGTCTTTATAGGAGCAGATCTCCCTCGGAGCTCCACCAAACTTCCAGTTAGCAGCCACCGTGTCCCGAGGCTCCATTGCTAACCTCTAGCCCCGGACCATGCCCGGTCCCCTGTTTCTTCCTGGGTCTGCCAGCCCTCAGTGGGGAGAACACACAGCTGCCCGGAGCCTGGCGTTGGTGGCGGTCAGGATCCAGATGCAGCTGCCGGATGCCTTTCATCGCCCTTCCCGTTCCAGATCTCCCCCCCCCTCCTCACCGAGTGCTTCACACCCTGCAATAGGAATGTGCGGGCTTGCTTGCTTTTCTGCTGTAGAGACTTCGCCTCCACCCCTCCGCATTCATTGCTGTGGGCGAAGCAGAGGTTAAAGGGGCTGGATGGAGAAAGTTTGTGAGAATGCCGGCTCTTTCGATTCCATTTCCCACAGACGCTTCGAAGTCCCTCGCGTACACGGTCGCTTTTGGAAAGCCTTTTGCGGAGCCTTGACTCCACACCTGCCCATCTTCTGGACT